CCCCAAAACCCCAAAACCCCATATGTGCAATATTATTTAATTTTGAAATGTAAACAAATCTAAAATCAAAATCAGCTTTTATAATAAGATTTTAAATTTATAATGGAAAAGTAAAGGTAAGAAGCTCATTATAAGCATCTGGCTGAGAGTATTAAACGGCAGCAAAGGGGTGTCGATGGATAAAACAATGCAGCAATCATGACATTTAACTCTAAGTATCCTCCACAGAACTAACAGAATAACTCTATCATTTAAGAAGCGTAGTCATCCTAAATGGAAACATCATCCAGAATGTATACATCTAGAAGAACCACCGTAATGACTAGCAAGGACCCCCAATATACTTAGTAAGATGAGCAGTAGAATTAGTCAAGAATAGAGAACAATAAATAGAAGTGAAAAAATTATAATCAGTCTACTAACAATCCAGTGCCTTAGCTTAACTTCAATAATTTACCTTCAACCCAAGCAAACACCTATCAAACTAATCAGAGTCATATCAGTAATAATCAAAGGCAGCAATAGCTAATGTTCTCAAATCCAAATAATAGCTCTCAGTAAAGAGCCACAGCTAATTTTTCAAGTTATGACAGTCTTTCTGTTGCGATGCAAAGTAGTCAGAGGGCTCCAGTGAATTACAATAACAATAACAGTGTTTCTGCTCTGCATAATCATTAGGCATTCAACCCCCTCAAAAGCACTACTAGTGCTAAGACTTTTATCAGCAATACAGCACTCACACCTATTCTTAGATCAGCAAGGAATAAGGGTAATGGGGCAGATTCAGAAGAGTTAAAGGATTTCACGCACACTGAGTTCACTGAAACAGTAAATGATGAAGACTATGAGGATGATGACTTGGATATTGAGTAAGATTCTTAATCAAATGAAAGTTCAGTTGACGAAGAGAATGAGTACAATCAAACGCATGTCAACCTGCTCGAGTACACTCAAAATCTGAATAGCAATCATTCGTAGTCACTTTGGGGGTATTATGTACTGTTTCTTGACCCTGAAAATTTCATATACTACAGAAAAGATCCAAGAAGAGACGACTACATAGTCCTTGAACCAATTGTTGATGAGCATTTCAAAGAGAAGTTTCTCCACGCGAATAAGATTCATTTATACAAAATTAGAAAACTACTGGTGTTGGAAGGCTTTAGCTGGAATTTCAAGGGGGAGGCTGATATGTATAGAAGAAGACCATTTCCAAGGCAATTCCTATAAAATGAAGCTAGTGACTACCCATGCTATGTATTTTAATCAGAACTAAGCAAAGCGTTTAACAATAAGGGTGAAATTGATACGGTCGTAGATTTGCTAGAGTACAAGCAATAGATGTATAATGAGGGTAGAATATAGAACATGGATTAAGATCTGGTTATAACATTTAATGAGTCACTGGTCAACTCAACTAAGGAGTTCATTAAGAATATTCTTAGATAAGTCTATGGCAGATATGGCTTCAAGATTAAGCCAAAACCAAACTACAATCTGATACTTAAAGCTGACGGGTACAGAGAATATTTTGAAGGAAATTATCAGCTTCTATAGTATGAGAGAGTTAGAACCTGCCTAAGAAAGAATGAGAAGATGAAATTACTCCTAACTGAAATTCCCAACAACTACAGGGATCGTAAATTTCCTCCTATCTTCAAAACTATACACGAGATCCCTCCGGCTAACACAGTGAATACCTCATCTCAATCCCAATTCAACAAAAATCCAAACTCCTTGTAAAGTACTCAGATTCAAAATTAGTACAACAGCAATCTAAGCAATACTAATAACTTAACAATAAGCAACAACGATCCAGAAAGTCAGTTTAATTAAATTCATAGCAATAGCAACTCTATTGAAGACTATTTTAACTTCAGTTCTATAGTCAACTCGTCGCCATATTTCTGGTATCCGCCTGTGCAAAATATAAAGATGCACTATGAGAAGCTCGTTAATAAGAGACAGTAAAATCATCAGAACTCAAATATGTCCATGATGATGTAAAGCCAACAGCAGGATAAAAATCTCAGGAGGGTAGTCTATGTGGCGCCTGAAAAAAATAGAGTGTCACTCACTGAGCACAGGCATCAAACTGGAGGTACTACTACTCCAAAATAAAATGAGCAGATTGTTTTGCTGAGTGGAGAATGCAATTGGCGCTTCAAGTTCAAATTAGTTGGCATTGAAAGACTTAATGTAATCTTCAATGAAATAAAGTAGAGAGTTGCTACAGATAACTTGAACACAGAGCCAAGAAACGTTACTTTAAAGCCTCAAAAGTTGCAATATCGAAAGCACCAGGGCAAGAAACAAGAGGAAATTCAGATAAACCCGAATGAAGGTTCTCAAATGACTGTAAGCACCGCTAGCGTTGGTGCTAATCCATCTGGCTCTGTGCATTAAAATGATCCTTCAACTCGAACTTAGAGCTTAATGAGGTTCTTCAAAAAGAATAAGCAGCCTGCCGTTGACAGAGAAGAAGAAAAGAAGTTGAAGACTACTAATCAAAAGAAATTAAAAGTTGAGGAGGAGATCTAGTCTCAGAAGTATGACTATGTTCCCACTATGATCAAGAAAACCATCAAGATGTTTCATTAAAAGGACAAAAACGACGAGTTCAAGTTCAAAAAGAAAAAGCATGGACACGGTCATGACTCTAAACATGAATTTACTGAAGATGAGGAGCACTTTCTTACCCAGGAGCTACAAAAGATACACACTCCTTATTGCAACTTCGGAAATAAATATGATACTATAATCAACTATCAAAACATTCTCTCGTAAGTAGTTATGTATTAAACAAATTTAGGAGCACATTCTCAAAATGCACACCTTTGAAGTTGGTAGTTGAATGCACTCTGTTTCATGGATGCGAGACTCTAACCTAGAGTGTGCACTCTGAAGAAGCGTACTTCAATAACACTGTGAGATATAACCAATGGATTAATTTCGGTAATCTAAGGGTAAATAAATCCAACTAAATTAAATCTATTACAGTACTGCCAAATTCCAATGAAAACAAGACTGTCATTTAACATTATAATGCTGACTAAGGAGGGATAATAATTAACAATAGGATGTGTGTCTCTGAACTTATTCGATGAGAAGGGTAGATTTAGAAATGGCTTAAGAGAACTCAATGTTTGGCCTTTCTATGAATTGGATGAAAGACTAGGCTGTATGAAGGAATATAATGGAATAACTGTGAGTTAGGCTTAATCAAAGGATTTTCACAAACAAATAGACTCTTTATTCACTAAATTACTGATAGAGTTTGAGGGATTCAACTATCCATTTTACTACAGCAGCAGAGATGAGAAAAAGATCGATTTCTATAAGTTGTCCACTAATTACGAAGATCGTGAGGATAAAGCAAATCTTATCAATGTATAAGTAAAGAACCAAGATCTCGCTAAACTGAAAAGATACTTGAATCAGAATCCATTGACTAAGTTTGATGATACAGTCAAGAGAGAGCTCTTCAAATGCAGAGAGCATTACCAAACACATCCTCAGGGCTTGCCTATTTTTCTTAGAAGTGTATAATGGAACAGGCCGATTTAGGTTAATGAAGTATATAAAATGCTCTAGAACTGGGCTTTAATGAAACCAGAAGAGGCCATATCTCTCTTAGATGCTAAGTTTCCAGATGAAAGAGTCAGAAAATATGCAGTGGCTAGAATATCTTAGCTATCAGACGATGATCTGGCTTTGTACATGCTGCAGTTTTCCTAAGCTTTGCTATTTGAAGAACAGCATTTCTCTCATTTAGCCGAAATGTTGATAGAGAGATCTCTTAAAAATCCATATGTAGTTGGTCATGCATTTTACTGGTCTCTGAAAAGCAATTTATATCTAAAACCATCTTATGAGAGATATTATGTGCTTCTAGAGTAATTTCTGATGCTTTGTGGGAAGTTTAAAGAAGAAATCTGGATATAATAAAAGGTTAATACTTCCCTAAAAACAGTTTCAGAGAACGTGGTAGCTAATCGTTACAAGGAGAAAATTCCCTTTGCTGATGTAAAGGAGAAAGCAAGGTATGATCTTAGGAATCAAAGAAGAAAACTTCCTTTCCTGTTCACTCTTACCATAGATCCAAAAATAGTTATTAGGGATTTTAACTATGAGAGGCTGACAGTATTTTCATCAAAGAAAGTGCCTCTTTTAATAACTTGTCTCAATCAGTAACCAGGAGGCGATCCTCTGAATGCTATATTTAAAAATGGAGATGATTTGAGGCAGGATATACTGACTCTGCAAATCATCTACATTATGGATAAAATCTGGCTAGCCAATAATCTGGATCTAGCAATGACGCCTTACAAGGTTATGGGAACTGACTGCGAGTAAGGCTATTTGGAATTTGTAGGAAATTGCAAGACACTGGCCTATATCCAATATAAGCGATCTATATTCAACACATTTTCTGATGATACGATCGAGAAGTACATGACTCATTACCTTGGAAAGAAATATCCTGATGATTGGAGTGAAAGACTAGAAAATAATCGCAAGATATTTATCAAGTCCACAGCTGGCTATTGCGTAGCTTCTTATGTGCTGGGACTAGGAGATAGGCATCCAGATAACATTATGATTAACAGAGAAGAGGGCAATTACTTGCACGTCGATTTTGGGCACTTTCTGGGTAATGTCAAGAAGAAATTCGGAGTTAAAAGAGAAAGAGATCCATTTGTGTTTTCCAAGGAACTTGCCTACTTTATTAATGGAGGGCCATTAAACAAGAATACTAGCAAGATAAAAATTAGTAAGAAATTATCTGAGGAAGAGCACAGAGATCTGTCTGAGTCAATACTGTCGCTCGATTAAAATGAAAGAAGCATAATTTCTAAAGGCAGTGAGATTGATGAATCAATGAAGAGTTAAAGCTTCAAGGATTTCGAGGACATGTGCTGTTAAGCCTACAATATACTTAGAAAAGACGGCCACTAACTTATTAATATGTTCTTAATCATGCTTTCAGCTGGCATGCCTGAGCTAAAAAAGGATGATGATATCTAGTTCATGGTGAATAGGCTTGACTTAAGCATTTCTGAGCAAGAAGCTAGTAACAAGTTCAAAAAAGAGATTCAGAGAGCTATGTAGACATATTCAAGAAGATTTGATAACTTTTTGCACAATATTAAGGCAAAGTTTTCAAAGTGATTGCGTTTCATTCAGACGATTGATATATAATCTTAATTTCATAAATTCATGCGATTCTTAGATCATGGGGTTTTGGGGTTTTGGGG